GGGTTTTTTTGTGCGTACACACAGACACACGCACGCATTTGCCATTTACACCGAATGCTCGTTTTATTTTACAGTAAGCTTACCCACTGCTGGTGCACTTCCCTAGTCCACTTCTCTATTCTCATTTCACTTTTTTTCCCTCTTTAGTCAACAGGTTGGTATACTTACAAAAAAAAAATCCATGTCAAAACCAAAATAAGAAGACCAAATAAACACCCTCCCAAATGTAACTGAAAAGAATGACAGGAAGAAAACAATCCATTAGTCTGGTTGATGAGCACTTGCTGCATTTCAGCACAAAATGCTGAGCTCTGATTGACATGCGGGCCAGTTTCCCCTTGCCCTTCAGAAGTACTAATGCCACAAAAATATAAGTGTTGCTTACACTGATACAGTATTTCAGAGACAACAGACAAAATGTCACAGGATCAGAACCCATGAGAATACAAAGGCAAAGGGTTTTCTTCACGCTTAGCCAGTTCTAACCCTTAACTGACCTTCATTATACTTGAACACAGCACGCAGCTCACCTCTTAACACTCACCGCACACAACGCAAAGTTTGCCAGGCTAGGCTAACATGAGGTTCAGTTATCACAAATGCTACACAGGTGCTAGACTAATATTTACACACTAATATCAACATCTGGAAAAGATAAGAGTAAAGCAACAGCACCAGGCCAGTCAATGACACATATTCCAGTGTCATACATTAACCTTAAACTAAGAGAAGGACAGATTAAAAGAAAACAACAACAACAGAAGAGTCTGACCCACAGTTACCTTGTTGAGATGAAAGCACATGAGGCCTGTTTGTTTTTAGTAATCATGCCTGGCAAGGCAGGGGAGTGGAAGACGTATACATGTTCTAACCTGTATGTTATTAATTTGCTCGACTGATATAACAACCATGAATCGCACATAGAAGTCTCAATGTGCTCACACGATGCATTTTCAGAAATTATCTGCTCGGTTTTCCAGTAGCCACACGCTGTGTTTTTTAAGTGACAAGAGATCCTGTGACTTACTTGCAGTTTGAGAGAAATTGTCAAGTTTAGCTTCTTTTAGTATGAACCCGTTATTCTTCAATTAAGAAAGTTACTCAGTTGTCATTCTTAGAAAGAAAACCAGAACTGGCAAAAAACCTGTATTGGTAGGTCACACTTTGGAAAAAAACTGGAACTCAGAATTAGCCAAGAAAATTGCAACTGGTCCAAGCTCTAGTTTACGGCATGTTAAAAAAAAAAAAAGAGTAAACATTCCCTGAGATAGACTGGTGACGTGTGCAGGATGTAACATACTCTTTGAATATGACAACTGGGATAGGCTCCAGTGTCCTGTGACTCAGAACAAACAGAAGTTAATAAAGTGCATGGATGGATGAATGCAAATACTTCTTGGATAGATTCAGCTTATGCCAGCTACACTGAGAACTGCATGTCACCAGACACAGAGATACACCTTAAATTTCACAACTTAAGAGGGTTGCCAGTCAACAACACTAGCAGCTACATTATTAGAGAAGGAAAAATGTTTCTGGAATTAATAAAATGAAATAGCCAAAATTCAACACAGACACATACAACAGTGGTTCGACCCACTGATGAAGGACAAAACAAGGCTTCTATTTTGGTCCATATAACTTCCAGTAATCGTAAATTGTATTCCAACACCTCAACACACATAAACGCAGAAAGCCAGCATCAAACCAGCTGTTCTTAATACGATGGCACAGATTAAGTCCATACACTCCCCCATCTTTCCATTGCTCTATCCATCCTCCCTTCACTGCCCCCAGCCATGTTAACCGTCATTTTCCTGTAACAACTGGATGACCACGTGACCTAGATATATGAGCCGAACATAACATGCATTGACCTTTTTTTCTTTTACTCCTGCTCAGGGACTGCTCAAAAAGTTTATATTCCTATTATTTGAAAAGAATATGCACAATTTCTCATCCTCAGCCACATCACATGAAAAAGAAACACTGCTTAAAAACCAAGTCATGAAAGATGATGAGGTATAAGGTCACATTTTGTCCAAATTCATTCTGCATATTCAACAAAAGTGAGAAGAAAAAGTTATTAAAAAAAACTT